TAAATAGGGATCACGTAAATGAATATTATGTTTATAGTGTAAAATCTCCTCTATTTATGTGTAATGGAAACAGGACAGTTCACGATGTAGGGTGAGATCGTAATTTGCAAGGCATGAGTGCTTCCAAAGTAAACAGTGCACTATTTGGAGGAACAGTGGGATTCATATGGGAGAATTTCTGACATGGGAAAAATTTCTGCATATTTTAGCAGTTCCCGTATCAAGGAACCAGATATTTCGACGTTTCAGCACTGCCCTATTAAACGGATATGTATGTGCATATATCATCAGTGAATACTTCCACTCAGCTGTGTGCATTCAGAAATCGTCAGAGAATGGCCGATGAAACGAAGAATCAATCGTTTGCATACTTTTTATTGTACTGAGCGATATTCGTTTTTAATTGCAGATTCTCCGCACGAATTCTCTCAACCTCTTCGACTGTATTGTTCAACTTTTGTTTCAGATACTCTATAACACCCGAGAGACGCTTCTCGGCAACAATAATTTCCTCGCTTTTTGCTCTCACATCTGCAGTTCAGATACGCAATGTTGGTGTAATTTCTTTGAGTGGATTGTCACCCATATTGTTTCATTTATTGTGTCAATTCTGTTCAACTGTTTCGTATTTATTTGAATTTCTTGACTGTTTCTCTTTCTCTTGAATGTCAGCTTCATTTGTGAACACAGTCGTTACAAGAGAAATGCGAATTCCACTTAAAAACCTCGTTTCAAATCTGGGAACTTTCAGATGGAAGACATTATGGTTTAGAGGCGAATTCACAAGCAGAATTACCGTACTTTCCGCACTATAGGGCGCACNGCGCACTGGACTATAAGGCGCATTTAAGGAAACAAAACAGGTCAATAAGCAGAATTAATCCATATAGAAGGCGCTCTAATTTATAAAGCTCACTGTCGTTTTTTGGAAAGATTAAAGGCTTTTAAATGCGTCTTATAGTCCGAAAAGACGGTAATTCGATCAAATATATTCAGCGGATATAAAATTTGAACACATTCACATGAAACATATCCAATCAAACCGTTTGGTTCAAACCATTCAACTTACTATCCGGTTTGTCGCCCGCAATCGCCGTTGAGTGATCATCCATGGCACGGTTCACAACCGCTACCGATGGACACATTTGTTGAAAGTAGTTCCGAGAAAACCTTTTGCGGTCAAGTGAAACACTCATGTCAATTCAAATATTCAAAATAACTTCCACTGTTTACATGAAAATGCAAAATTTCGAGTCGATTAGCGCATTTCCCATCAATTCATATTAGGTAATTGTTTGTCCAATGTCAGCTCCACCGCTGTGTTGCGAGAAAACTTCTTATAAAGCTCGCTTCCGAAGCAAAACAATTGTCGTTTTGTGAAGAACTGTACTGCACTTGTAAACAGTTTTATACATTCCACAATTTTCATCTCTTAAATATCACCACCACAGTTTAGCTGAATTTCAGCTGAAATGAATGTGCAAGCCAGTTCCGGATGTCTCAATCCCCAGAGAACGAAACCGAAATTGGGAGCAAGCTCAATTGTGCACCATGCTGATATCATACCTTCAACATAACTCCCGTACTCCATCCCTTCAGTTCCCCCACATACATAATCATTTAAGACATTCCATTAGACATTCATCGAACCATACAGCCCCCTTTATGTTCACATAACCTTCAGTACAATTCGTGAGCCATCGTGTGGAACAAAACAAAATCGTTTGTTTCAAAAATTTTTTATTGTTTTGGAGAAC